CTATTGCGTGCCCCTCGCTTTGACGTTTCTATACATTCTATAGAACTTTTATGCAATATTGTTTGCGAGTTAGCGAGCAATCTTGTTTTCCGCGAGAAGTCAGAGAGATGTCGTTACTCAGGTCCTATGTTTTGAGATACTATGTTTTCAAGAAAAACTTTTTCAAAGTGTTACGTCCGTTTGTCTGTGGTTTCGTCTTTGATGAAACACATCAACAGAGGTTTCATGACGTATATGACGGTAAATGACAATATATTTAAAGCATTTCTCATGTGGAAACACTTAAAGATTACCCGTAATATGTTTAATTTATCTTCCATCCACATATTTATCTTATAGAAAGTAACGAAAAAGGGACATAACGCATATTTAACAACTGCGGTGAAATAGTGTGAAAGGGATTGAAAGCCATAATGAGGTTTCGTTTCAACTCGCTTATCGACACTACTTTCATTGACAATGAGCAGAGCAACGACGAGAAAATTCACAGCCAACCTTTTGTTCTAAGCGTGCTTCTTTTTCATTCTCGTTTCATGCTGATGGTCTAGCTAGGCATGGTAGGAATGGAACGATGCCAGGCGAGTAAGAGAGGTGCCACAGTCGGAAGAAGTGTTAGTTTGTTTACTAAAATGAATCGCCCATTTTGTTATGGCAAGTTTTGCTATAAGAAATGCTCCTCGTGTTTATTAGCGAAATTCACATCAAAGATTGATTATTTTGTAGGAAATCAGTTTGGCACGGCATTTGTAACCAGCATACACCTTCCGGTCGTATGAAACAGGTCAAAAACTGTCCAAATCCGCATTCAAAAATTTTTGTTTTGAATTTCTGTATAGACAAAATAGTGAACTTTTCGTACTTTCACCAACACTGGGAGACCGTGAGTTCCTGCCTACCTGTCATAAAACCGTCTTGGGAGCGATGAACATGTTGTATAACCGAAACGAAAACGAGAATATACACAGTTAGAAAAAAGTACCCAAAATTAAGTTCTTTTCACTCATCTCGGCACTATAGTGCAGGAACCCAAAAGTAGGTAAAGCGAGTCAAGTTAATTTTCATTTACTTGTGTGCAGTTCGTATGGAATTTTCCACTGGCTTTTTAACCAAAAGTAAGTTAGTTGTACCCAACAGTAGGTAAATATGATTATACTCAACGTTGGGTTCCCACACTTTACTACCCCTGTTGGGTGGTTTTGCTACTCCGTTTTTGACAACATTAGAAGGAGAAAATGAGACAAACTAGTCAAAAGTAGGTAAAAGTGAACTGGCCGTTGGGTACTTTTTTCTTACCGTGTAGAATCTCAAATATCACCTCACGAACACTATTATTAAAAATGTTAAAATTAACGAGCAATAGTTATATTTCTTACTTTGCTTTACTATACTTACTCATAATGGTTACCTTTTTATAGTAACAAATAAAAATTTGTAGTTAGTAAAATAATTGGCTTTTCATTTTGTTTGCCTGAGGCTACAGAGTTGAACATGAACTCGTCTAATTTTACATTCATTATCGTATGCTAAACTAGACAAGGGTCGCGGATACAACGAATATTCATAATGAGTCAGGTAACACAATAGAACAAAACATGTTTCATATAGTCTAAAATTGTATTTATTTTTAAAATGTTTTTTATGAAGTAATGAAATTGGGTTGTTAGCGAAATGCTTTAAATAAAACAGCAAAAAGGTTATCTTTTATTTAATTCCACTAAAAAAATTTTGGTATCCATGGCATATACGTATTTCGACTACAATGTTCAGTCTTCATCAGTGTTATTCTCACTAAAAAACTTATCACAAACCTAACTCATCCCCTAGGTATGTGAATATACAATGTGTAGAATCGGAACCTATCTAACTAAATTTTTTAGGTTCAGCAAAATTTATGTTTGTTAGCTGAGTTCTCGGCAAAATTCCCTTTTGTTAGCTGAATCTCGACAAGTTTTTCACTGAGATCCAGCAAAATACAATGCCGAGCTGCTCGGTGGTGCCCATCTCGGCAAAAAAAAACTAAGTGTGTAGATGCAATTTGTCCCATAGTGGGTGTGATCACGTCTGACATAATAGGGCCCTATGATTCCACCAGCCATCGGAAGTATATCAGCCTCCATCGGTTGCTCACTACGCTCTTGCCAAACCCGTAAAACTGTCGCGCTGTCTCCCGTGCTTACTTCAGATGTTGGATTGTGTATCAGACTGCACGACACAAATTTCGAACAGTCCAGATGCAGCCAATGACTTGGAATCCGGCAGCGGGATTTAACTATTGAACAAAGTTTTTTTCAATTGTGAAACTTTTCCTGGAAAGATATTGAAAGGTTATGGGGTGTAAGAACATGAAATCATAAACACTTCTCTTTTAAAATTATACAATTGCAGTATTAACACAGACAAACAGACATAACACATTGGATATTTCTCACTGTAAAACATCGTCGCTAAAAACATTACCGTCATCTGTTGAGTACACTGTGGTGGGAACTACGCTGAACAGATGGCGGTAGTGTGTAAACGTCAAACGCAAGGGAATTGACTGTGCGCGCCACAGGTGTTTCAACTACGATACTTTTTAATTGACCGTTAAATGCTTGTTCGATGAACAACTTGCGAGTGTTATGTCTGTTTGTCTGTGGTATTAAGGTTACGCTCCTCCAGGACCGAGATCTACTGCTTCAATCTTCCAATGCAGGTTTTTGTATTGGGATAGGTTTCGGAATCGATGCTGCCAGTTTCCAGATCCAATTCTGTTTTCATCACGAGCATCAAAGTGAAAATTAAAAATCAAATTAATAACAATACAATTTATATACAAAATTACAAAGTTACTTACGAATGCTGAAATAAAGTGACTCGATTCAACCGTCGCATGTTGTTATCGATTAGGTACTAAATCGGTGTACAAATGTATACATTATGAACAAATCTTTCTCCATGTCATCTCGCAATGGCCCCTTGCGCGGCTTTTCCAGCTTTTTCTGACTTAAACCTATGAAGTATTACCGCAATATCTTTAAAATTATCCACACATGAAATTATCACTTGAGCCGCAAAACTTATGGAAAAAACGGCGAAGCAAAATGTAAACAAACAACTTGGCTTGCTGCTTTTTTCGTTCGGTGATTGATTCGTTCACGAGAAGATGCAAGCGATGTGAAGAAAGATGAAAGTTGAGAGAGTCGATGGAAGTAGATATCACAGATGAAAACAGATAGCGCACAGTTATTAGATACATAAAGGCTGAGCGTGATTTATGATAAAAAGGCGATGATCTGGATGTGTCGCCCTCCTCGTCCGTGTCACCTCCCTCGGCGAGAGTCGATGGAAGTAGATATCACAGATGAAAACAGATAGCGCACAGTGATCTAAGAGGAAGAGGTGGCAATTGGCTTCTTCCTCTTTTATTTCTATCTCTATCTCTATCTTTATCTATCTCTATCTCTATCTTACGCACATGAAATTGGCCAATCGGGAGCTGGTTCGCGTTTGACAGAAAAGTGGTTCATTTTCACCCCCGTATTGTCACCTCTTCTCTTAGACAGTTATTAGATAGGGGAATTTACGTATTCTCGTCAATCTAAGCAGCTTCCGCACTTCTATTAGCATTTTCTCAGTGTCACGTACACATATGACGTATCTGTTTGTTTACATTCATCTGCTGCTAGCTATTCTATCCATTCCAATCAACAAAACTGTCCAAAACGGTTTGAAAACGTTTTTAAGACGCTCCAAACTTCTCAGGTGAGTGTGACTATTGTCGGCAGCCTCTTTTACTTCGGCAACCTTTCCGTTTAAACTGCGTGTTAACTAGCTGTTCTATTATCGGCAACTCGAAATCAGCCGTATTTTGATGTGCTTATGTTTCTTTTGAAGAAACACCTAGCATAACAGGTTTGCTCAGTCTTAAAAATGTATTAGGATTGAAGCTGAAAGACTAAGGAATCGTTTAAATACATTCAGCGAAGTGTTTTAGTGAGAAAATACATCGAAATTAACGTTTAAATTGTGGTTGCCGAAAACAGTCGATGGCTGCCGAAGCCATCATTTACCCTAAATAAAGGCTGAACGTGATTTATGGTAAAAAGACTAAAATCTGGATGTGTCGCCCCCTCGGTTTACTACCACTTGAACTTCTAAATAAAACAATATTTTGTGATTCTTTCTTCACGAGAAAATTTGCCAACATTTTTGCGTTGCATTTAAATAACTTAAATTTTATGGTGTAGCTTTGTGAAATCACTGGTAGAAATTCACGCCGAAACAGCTTCACAAAGAGGCCCATTGCATGGTTAATCTGTGGATCCCACGCTACTGTTTCTCACCGTTTCCGGATATCTTTGAAATTCCATGCTCACTGTCGAATTACTCAGCTGCAAAAACATTCGCTGCTGTATGCGACGTTTTGTGCACTAGATCATATTAGAGAGGGTCTAGTATAATAGAGGAGTGGACTGGATCATTATTAGCCAAACGAACTGTCAAGGCCAGAGACAATTGGTGTTGACGGCACCGTCGAAAAATTTGTTCTTCCAGCAAATATAGACAGTTTCTTATGGGAATTTTCGGTGGAGTGAAAGGATAGTACAAAGTCCGCCATGTTTCACGCACAGTCTGACGTTTGCTTATGGATTTTCTCATAGGAGTACAGAGCTACAGCGTCGCCGTCAACGCCAATCGACCAGTGCCTATCTTGATTGCATTGGCAGTGTTGCCAGAAATCATCTAGGCATAGGTTGCCAATGTAGTATGTTTTGAATCTGCTCCTCTCTTATACTAGACCTTCTCTAATATTATCCCAGTGGACCCAGTCGGACGGATCGTTCAGTATGTACAGAAATATCTATGGCGTATGAAATAGTTTTTTTTTATTGTCAAACATCATTTCCCTGAACTTGCAAAAGATCTCATAAATGAACTTCCCTTCTTCAAGATGATCAGTTCCAGAACTACCAAGTGTTCTAGTTGGTGCTTGTTTGAAGCGAAGACAACACCGTGTTGTCTTCGTTTAAAGTGAACCCTTCATCATACCTAGGTCTCATTTCAGACGGTGTCCAAAGCTGGGATTACCACATCGATAACCTAAGAAGCCATGATGGGGGTACCGTGACTTCCTTGTATAGTCTCGCTGGTCAAGTTCAATAATGATTAAATGCTCATCGGCAAAAATGTAATCTCTTTGTTTATTATTGCTTCTTGCACACCAACTCATAAACATCGCTTCTCTTCTGCTCCTGTACTGGAATCTGTCGACGAATTTCGTCACGCAGTCCCATGTTCAAATTAGCCACCAACGTTTCAGGACCTTCCTTTGCTCGGCACAAGACCCGTCCCCACGGATCGCAAACGGTTGAGTATCCATAGGCGACGTAATCCTTCGAAGCATCCCTCGCCGGTGCACAGAGCACCACAAACATGCCATTATCGAGGGCCCGGGCCTGTGCAATCAATTCAAAGTGCATTGGTCCGGTGTAGGTATCGAATGCCGATGGGTATATCATCAGGTCACAACCTCGCTGCCGATAGATGGCTGCAAACTCTGGGAACCGCTGGTCGTAGCAAATTCCCAATCCAACTTTCACTTGACCAACGTTGAAGGTCATGAACTCACTGCCAGCCGTTAGAACACTCGACTCCTTAAAGGTGCACCTGCCAGGGATGTCCATATCGAAGAGATGCATCTTGCGATACTTGCCGAGAAACTCTCCAGTTGGTCCCCAAACGGAGCAGGTGTTATAAAGTTTTCCAGCATCTTCTTCCGGGAACGTTCCACCAACCAGGTGGATCCCCAGTTCAGCAGCAACTTTGGACAATGCTTGAGAGGTTTCCCCAGATGGAATCCGTTCAGCTGAACGAGGAAATTCATCGGTACAGTAGGTGGAGTTCCAGCATTCGGGCAGAACCACCAGCTTAGCACCTTTGTCTTTGGCAGCAATTCGGATCTGATTAACGGCGTTTGCTATGGCTTCCTGTTTTGTTGGAAATCCAGCCAACTGTATGAGAGCGATCTTCAATGTGGGAGCCATTTGGTTCTTCTCACTGTCGTGGGTGAATACGAACTGTGGATTGTTTGGAATATCACTGGCAAATAAATAGCTGCCAATTATCACTAAACGATGTGGTGATAAAAGGCTTCACAACCAACACAAAGTTGTTTCCAACAGTTGTAACTGGATTATGTGCTCATGTTTTTCACATCAAACGACAGACTACACCACTACAAGTACAAATATATTCAAATAAACGCGCCAATAACGATCTCAGATCGAGACGATGCTCGGGCAGTATTTGCAATCTCCGCGCAGTAAATCAAAACAAATCAAGAGCCTTTCATCACCCATCACGTCCGCCATCACCATCATTGCAAAACAAAGCGAACTTGTGTGGAGGAATCCTTTATAAATAGCCTTGTCTATGCACAATCAAGAGACGCTCGCTCGAAGAAATTAGCAACCGTCGTGTCGTTATCAGTAGACGTTGATCATCCATCCGAATGCGCAGCTGATCACTCACGACTTGGCCTCTGGAGGTCATCGCTCAATCAATCCCAGTTTGATAAGTTGGACCGCTGGATTCAGCTTCTCAAGTGTCAGTAACGAAATCGAGCACGAACCGTCAGGATGGTGATCAGAATAGCGCTAATTCAGCTCAAGATCGCTGGACCAAAGGAAAAGATCTTGAAGAATGCTGTGGACCTGATTCGAATCGCCAAAAAGGAGAAGGATGCCAACGTAGTGGTGCTACCGGAAAGCTTCAACTGCCCGTACAGTGAGGAAAACTTTGAAGCGAATGCCGAGGAAATTCCGCTGGGTGAAACTAGTCAGGCGTTGAGTAAGGCAGCCCGGGACTTTGGCGTGCACGTCGTTGGTGGATCGTTCGTGGAGAAATGCTGCGGCAAACTGTACAACACTTGTACGGTTTGGGGACCAGAAGGTGAGCTGGTGGCCAGACATCGGAAGGTTAGTACATTCGATCATCGTAGTTACCCTTTAGACTGAATCAACTCCTTCTGACCTTGAAACAGATTCACCTTTGCAACACTAACATCCCGGGCAAACTGGAGGTCGAAGAATCGAAGGTGTTTACCGCAGGCGATAGTTATACGACCTTCTCGGTAGGTGAAACCAAGATCGGACTAGGAATATGCTGGGATATGCGCTTTCCGGAGTTCGCCGCTGCCTATCGTGAGATGGGATGTGACCTTCTGATCTACCCTGCGGTTTGTGATGTCTTTACCGGAGAACTGCACTGGGAGTTGCTCGCCCGCGCTCGTGCCCTGGATAACCAGGTATTCGTGGCATTCTGTGCTCCGGCGAGGGATTGCCATGCCGAGTTGATATCCTACGGGCACTCTCTGGTCGTGAACCCGTGGGGACAGGTGATCCAAAATGGAACCGAATTTCAGGAAATTGTCGTGGCTGATTTGGTACTCAAAACGCTTCCGGAAGTGAGGGGGCAAATTCCCGTGCTGCAGCAGAAGAGAGCAGACCTGTACGAGCTCGTGGTGAGAAAGTGATCGCCGAGGCAACTCCAGCAAAGGGAAATTATTTGTTTTTTTTTTTTATGTACTCGAAAGAAGATTGTGAAGTTTTAGCAGATGGAAACCGCCTGGGTTCTGAAACTGGTAGCTAGGTTAATGGATTGTGATAATAAAGCAGCACGTGATTCTGTGGAAGCTGTGTTGATAGTAGAGCGATCGTTTTGTGTTTGATGCTGCATTCAGAATGAATTTCTGCGTCTAGGAACAATAATAGAATCAGCTGGGCCATGCGTGATGGGCAAACTGCGTGATGGACAAAAAAACAGCTCATGAGTTTACCATGATTAGAAGGCATTATCAAGCATTTTGCTATAGCGGCCCTGTCGAGTTTGATGACTTCTTCGTTTAGTGAACTCTGGTTTTTATGGGTATTTAGAAATAATGGTTTCTTTTTTATTTAGTTGACTTTGTTATTTTCTTTGATTATAAATAGTTATAATAATTATTTAACTGGAAGAACAGGTTTAAAGCATAATGCCTAATATTTGATAATGTTTTGAGGCTAATACTGAACACTTAACTTAAATCAACACTAATGCTAAACGTAAATACATTCAAATTTCTTTATTAATCGTGATAGTTCTAAATTGGTAGAATTGATAAACATCAGAATGCTTGGAAAATTTAAATGTATTTTGAATTTTAAGCTATGGTTAATGAAAACTTAAAATTTTCTTTACTTAAAGTACGTTCAATATTGGTTGAAAATCACGATGATTTCGAACAGCTCCCATAGATATGCTGCCGCTACTTCTTCAGATTGGATTTACCCTTTGTATGTTTAGTATGCTTTAGTGATTTAAACTTATGTATTGGTTAAGGTGCAAGGATACCAATACATATACTAAATTCGTGTTTATCTTCTAAAAACTGGGAAGTATTGTTATCTCGCAGATTCAAATTTACCTATAAGATTATCTGAGAATGTAATGGCATGTGTTAAGTTCGATTGTGCTACATTTCCCCGAATGTCACTTCCCCGAACGCCATTTTCCCGAATCCCAGACAAACATATACCCCATTTCCCCGAATGCCATTTCCCGAATGTAATTTCCTCGAATGAAATCCAAAAATTTATAAAATACTTTGACTGTATTACATTTCTAAGGTTGGTTTTTTTTTTCATTATTGTCACTTTAACACTCTTGGGTCATTCGTGACTTGTCCGGGGGTGAGATTTGAACTCGTGACTTTGGCAACTACGCCGGGGTCACCCCCTTCTAAGGTTGGTTTCGCGAGCATTAAAAAGACATCTTTGAATATTGCAACAATTAACCTTAAAAGAACAGCTCATGATAAAAAAGGGAAAATCTCTGTTCACAGTCAATCAATCGGGCGAGAGTTTTAGTATAGAGGTAACTCTAAGACTAGTAAGTCCCGAATAAACGATCTACTTTTTGGCTCAGCTCTGGTACTATCTTCGGTCCCAAGCTAATCGATTCACCCCTCGAAACATAGGAAATTCCACTAACCCCTCATTTTATCTGTCAAATTTTCATAGCGAATCAAAACAAACATTGTGTAGTACTAGAATTTTGACAAGAATGGGTAACGTTAATCGATTTGCTTGGGACCAATAGGCTAGTCAAGTAGTGAGCCAATTTAAAATCGTTAGTTTCGTATTGATTGTTGGTTTTAGTGAGGCGGCGGCAGTACCAGAAGTGGAAGCGAAAAAATTAGTAATATATTTTTAGGACATTTTCCCTTATTTTATGCATGAGCAGTTCTTTCGAGAACTTTGTCAAAACTAATATCGATGATTTGACAGATTGGTAATAAATTTTTAGTAGATTTTCCCTTCTTTTTAAATTTATTTAGGAGACTTTCAGCCGTAAACGTATTTTATCCTTCATTTGTAAATGTTTTTTTCGAAAACTTTCTCAAAACTTGTGAGATTCACGGTTTGACAAATTGGTAATGTATTTTGAGGAAATTTTTCCCTCTTTTATAAACGAGCAGTCTTACGAGAACTTAGACAATATGTGAGGTCGATGGATTTAAAAATTGATAACATAGTTTTACGAGATTTTTTCTTTTATAAATTCAAATCGTGGAATTTGGCAAAACTTGTGAGATATATGATTTGACAAATGAATCGAGGAATGCTGTGAGTTTTACACTCACAACTACTGACAGCATAGCGCCACCTTCTATGGGCGAAAAGTTAAACCGAAAAATAATGTATGCAGATTTCAACATTTTTATTAAATTTTCGTTTGTGAAGGCGAAACGAGAAAAAATATTTGGTAGGGGTGTTGCGACATAATATAAAAAAACCTTCTGTACAAATATTTTTTTTGAAAGGCCAAGAAAAAGGCTCTTATTTAATAAAATAAACATTTTCCGGTTTTCTGCGTACAAAACAAATCACCATAACTTCTGTTTATTACTGTCACCTGTTGAATTTTGGTTGCAATAATTTCCGAAACAAGTTTTGCTAAATTTCCCGAAAGAACTGCTTATGTAAAAAAGTAGGAATAAAAATATTTTACCATTTTGTCAAACCATCGATCTCTCATGTTTTTCCAAAGTTCTCGAGAGAATTGCTCGTAAATAAAAGAAGGCAAAATCTCCTTAAAATTTATAACCAATTTGTCAAACCGACGATATTTTGCCAATTTTTTTGTTCTTTTTGGTTTTGGATTATTATTCTATGTATAAAAATGAAAATGCTTTTAACGGCTCAATACATTAATATAGGGGAGAGAGGGGCATAGTGAGCATTATGTGCTTTGGCAATGCATTTCTAGCTACTCGAAGCAAATTAATTGGTAGTTGGGTTAATTTCATAAACCTTCCATTTGCATGGCTTGAAATTTAATCTGGTTTGCAATCTGCTCACTAGCGTTAGCGTTAGCGTTGTTATGATATACTTCGTAGATTGGATACTAGCGACACTCACGTCTCTTCTGAAATTCTCAGTTAGACTACTTTCAGGAATAATGCTGAGGAGCAGGCATGGAAAATCATTTACATTCATTTCATGCATTCATTTACATTCATTTGCCTCTAACTTTTTTCATCAACAACAGTCCGCAAAATGATGTACAGAGCTTTGTAGGTTTTGTAATTAGCTACAACTTTTGCCCGTAACTTAAATCTGTATCTCTTATGCATCATGAACTAGAGCGGGCAGAACTTGATACTGTTTTTCAGTGAATGTAAAATACATTCAGTGAAAAACAGTAGTGACTTCTGTTCGCTCTGGTTCGTCATGCATACGAGATACGGATTTGAGTTGTTAACAAAAGTTGTAGCTAATAACAAAGCCTTTAATAACTCTACACATCATTTTGCGGAATTTGGTTAATAAAAAAAGTTAAGAACAAATGAATGTAAATGAATGCACGAAATGAATGCAAATGATTTTCCATGCCTGCTGGGGAGTAAACATTGGTTCCATTCTAAACAAGAGTAACAGAAGCATGACTGTCGCTATTCCCGGCGACGCCCATCTTTACCATAACTAGGGATAGGGAAGGAAATGTTGATGTAGTACTTACTTAACGAGAGGCCACCGACTTAGCGACACCCTCATAAGTGCTACGGAGTTGGAGGGTTGGGTAGGGTATTCGGTTCGGATTCACCTCAAGTTGGCGATGCAACCAAAAGTATGTATTGTTTATTTGTTGTTTATTTAATCTCTCGATAGCCGGCTATCGAAAGAACATATTCATTGTGTTTAGTGATCATGAATTTTAAGAGTGATGACGGAGAGCTTGATTTTCTGCTCAGTAAGCAAAAACGATCCCTCCAGGGTCATCGAGCAACTAAACTTTAAAACTTTTAAACGTAATTACAAAATAAATATTGATTATTTTACGCAAAAACGAGCACTTTTGTATCGTATGCTAAAAATAAAGTATTAATATAATTAAATGCAAAATTTACTAGAAAATCATTACTTTATTGGCCCTCCCAGTTCCTCTGTATACAGAACAAATCTGATACTATAATCAGAATTGCTCAGTCTGCATGAAGCAGCCGATTGCATCAAGGAAGTTCTATTAACAACCAAGAATTAATCGTTTGAGGTATACTGAAGCATTAAGAAGGTGATATGTGTCATTATAGAAAATCATCATCGTTGCAAATATAAAGAAATTAAACATAACCCTTTGCTTCAGTGCCGTCTACCTCCATGACCATGGGGAGGGATCTGGTTTGCAATCTATGCTCAAAATATAGTAAGAAAATTGCCAGCAATAACGGTTGGAAATTTCCTAACTTTTTTTTCTCGGGGATATGGCATTCGGGGAAATGGCACATTCGGGGAAACGGCATTCGTGGAAATGGGTATTCGGGGAAACGACATTCGGGGAAATGTAGCACAACAGTTAAGTTCAGATTAAAAAAAACTGATAAATGTACACACTTAAATTTTTTCGCCGAGATTCCAACAGCCGAATAATTCTGCAATTTATTTTGCTGACATTCAGTCAAACAATTGCCGAGACTCAGCTAACAAATAACATTTTGCTGAGATATCAGCTAACAAACATATATTTTGCAGAGATATCAGCAAAAGTAAATGCCGAAGTAATCGGCTGTTGGAGATTTTGCCGAGCTAGATTAAGTGTGTAATAGGTCTCACGTTTTATTGATAGTTGGGCCATACACGCTTATTCTGGTCAACTCAAAATTGAGTCGAATGTACTCATCTCAGCGGCAAGTAGGGCTACTCAACATTGAGTAGCATTATGTTGACTCAACGACGTTCTCACGTAGACTGAGGCAAATTCACTCGCCGGTATTTTCAGTTGCGGGAGGGTTTTTGTTTTGATTTATATTCAAGGAAATAGAAATTGCCTGCTCCGGATTCATTTTACCGGAGCAGAAAATGGTTCAACACCGTTTCCCTAAGCAATTCGTACTTACCTGAAGGCATTTCAGCCGGTTTTGAGTAACATTTTCTATGAGATTTCCTCCGATATGACTGGCCTTTTTTCCAAGTCCAGGATTTTGGCTTTTACTCAGTTTGACATTTCTCGTTTACTCAATTTTTGACAACTCGATACATCGGACGAAAGTGAGTACGATCGACTCACCTGGTGAGTAAGCAGAAGTTAGCGTGTAGACTCAGCTCATAAAGCAGTGTATACACACTTAGAAATTATTACCGTATTCGGTAATTTTTCACCGAACTTTATTAACTGTCAAAATTACCGAACAATTCGGTAATTATTTACCGAACTATTCAGTAATTTGTTGCTGAACTGTTCCGTTAATGGATATTTGTTGATCTTTTGCATTTTTTGTTTTTTTTTTGTTTCGATTAATTATAATTTATAGCTTTTTTTTGTATTATAATTTGTAGATTTTATTTAATTGTAAAAATATATTATAAAATAACATATATTGCTCGCTGAAGTATTTTTTTTTCGCAGGTGGCTACTTTCATG